GCATGAAGTCCGGTCGTTTTTTCGGTAAATGCTCGCTTTGCGAAAAAATGACAAATGCAGATTTTTCGAAAAAATGCAAATTTCCAGTTCACTAAAAGTGGAAATATTGCTTGAGCGGTCCGTTTGTCAAAAATCCACATTTATTTACATATACGATTGCGGTTAAGGTCCAAGCTGCGAACGTTTTTTTGAAAATATGCAAATTTTCAGTTCATTAAAAATTGAAAGTATTGCTAAAACGGTCGTTTTTCAAAAAATCCATCTTCATTTGCATGTACAGTTGCGGCTCAGGTCCGAGTTGCTAACGGTTTTTGGGTTGAGGGGCTGCTTGAAGCTGTGGTTGGGGAGCTAGAGGGTTGATTTTAAAATTTTTATCTCGCGCGTGTATATAGAATATCCCTGCAAAGTTTCAGCTTTCTACGTTGCCTGGTTCGAGAAATCGTTTCCCGCCAAGATATTTCTTTGGGCGCCCCGTACGCGGGGTTTAGGCACGTATGGGAAAAGATCTTAAAACGTGGGGATGACACGTGGGGTAGGAACATATATCCAAAGTCTCAGGCTCCCAGCTTCCCTGGTTGCTGGGATGAAAGTGGGTAACAAAATGCACTCGCTTTCCGAACACACACACACACACACACAGGCAGCCTCTCCACAATATACGTTTTGCTGGCTATAGCAGCGCTATAGCACTGCACAGTAGAAACGCATAAAAATTACCAGGGTACAGAATTACTGCACTTATTCACAATGATTCTGAAGGAGGAGTTACAGCGTGAGACTGCTAATAGCATCTGCGAGCTTCTCGGATTGGACAAGGCAACGTCGCAACGCAAAAATCGTTCTGCGCTTTTACATTTAGGGCATAGGAAAACGGTCGATTTTTGCAAACTTTTTACCACTGGTTTTAGTACTAATAGATTTTTTAAACCGGAATCCAAAATTTCCTTGAGTCCAAACTACGCTGGTCACAGATTAACTTTCGTCTTGCCTTCAGACTCTGCCGAACAATGAGAAGATGACAACTGTAGCCCTTCGGTAGCAGGAGAAAGATCGCGCCTTTTAAAGTTCTATCATATTCTCCCAACGGATTTTTCTTTGTTCTAATTTCCACTTATTTTAATGTTCCTGGAAGGCCATTTTTATTTTTGTCCTGAAACTTCAACTACTAGTTTTATAGGCGGCTCAGGAAGGAAACGAACATGAGAAATGGTCATCAGTAATTTTCGAAATTTCGAACAGCATCGAATGCGCTGGAGCTGTCATTTCACTGCTCAAAGCTAAACCCTTCTTATTGACAAACGCCCTCGTGGCTTCCACGATCCTTATTCCTTTGGCGGTTTCGAAGAAAAAAGTGCGTTTTTTTAATGAGCTGATTGGGTCATGTTTCTTTCTTTTGAGCGTTTTTGAGTAATTTGCTGACTTGTGGTTTTCAATAATAACTTAATATTTTAAGTTAATATTTTCATTTTTTCATATGCGCTTAATAAACTTAAAATCTTAAGTTTTTCATGTGCAGTAAAAAAGACACTTTTTTTACTGAGTGTGTGTTTTCATTTGCAGAATTATATTTCAGGATGTTAATTTATCAGACGAATTTGATTCTCTGGTTGGAAATGTACTCAATTTACCAAATCTGTCTATTCCAGAGTCTGTAAGACGAATTTTATATAGCCGTGGTGGAGGTCTGTACTTATGTACTTACGCATGTTTCGGTTTTCAGCAGCATACTTCAGTGTTTCAAAACCAGCAACTGAGATATAACTTTTTATGCAGCATTTGCTATTACTCGGGCTTCTTCCCGTGTTCCTTCATTTTTTGTTGGGAACAAATGCGGAGGTTTTTTTTTTACTTTTGGGCACAGGAAATGCAGAAAATGAATTTTCAGAGTGTGCAATCGAAATGGAAAGTCCGCGCTCCCCAGATTATGACACATACGACCCAGAAAGCATTTTGACTCGTCTTTCTAATTCCTTTACCATGGTGAGTTCTATTTGAATTTCAGTTCGCGAAAATCCACTTTGAAATTTTATATTTTTTTGCTTTTTTTGCAGCTATGCAATGCAGAAAACGCACATTGATGAAAGGTTGTCTGTGTTTGTGTGTGTGTGTCTGTGTGTCTGTGTACGCGTCCTGCGTCTGTACCGATTTTTTATCTCGAAACCCAGAAAAGCTAAGGGGCTGAAACTTGTGTAACTTAATCTGTATGCGTGTACGGGCCAACATTTCCGAAATGGGCGCTCTTATCCGCATGGTACCCACGTATGGGCCCGTCAAAGTTTTTTTCGGGTGGGTTGCTAACTAGAGTACCTGAAAAGCTAGAAGACTGGAATTTTAAGGGAGTGTTCCCCGTCCAAGTAGGTACTGACGAGTCCAAACCCAGACATCGGGTATGCGTGGTACCCACGTACGGGCCCGTGAAAGTTTTTCGTGGGTAAGTTGCTAACTCGAGAACCTGAAAAGCATCCCTTATGCCTTCGCTGTTATGTCTGTCACAACCAGCGTTCACTCTTTCACTTTTGTTATTGGCTGCGTTTAGTATCCGTACGACATTGTGTTCAGCACAGCGGTACTGAAAAAGTAAGCATGATCCTTTCGGTCAAACATTTTTTGGATATCCACAGTGCTGTAAATCCTGCCTTTATAGACTACCCTTCTGTTCATATCGGAAACTGTGATATCTGCACTTCGTGATGAAGATAGACGTAACTGTCAATTTCTTCCAAGTCAACGCCGTCTATCTAAAATCTGGATGTGGGCATATGGATATTTTGCGTCACCTTTGCTTTCGATGTGCTGGTTTTAGGTCCATTTTGCTTCCAGGTCCTGCCCTATTCTCTTTGATCTCATGAGCACACCAAGGGGGGCGCGGAGCATAAGAGGTTTAGATGCGGCTTGTTATGATGTGTTTACTTCGGGGTCGAACTTCCTTGGTTCTTGCTTATCGAGAAATGCTGTTAGTCGGTTCCAGTAATTTTTGTGAATGAATGAAGCACAAGTATGGAATTGTAGGCTATTCGAGTTCTCCCCTTGAATTCTAGTGCTTTTGCTGTGTGGTTCGTGCTGGATAAGCCAGTTGTAGCATCCAGGTTGACCTTGAATGCCAAAGTATCAAAGGCGTATTGGATACAAAGCAGGGAATGAATATGA